ATCCGGGTACTCTGCTAGTAGTTAACAGACAAAAAGAAGAGAAAGGAAGAAAAAAAAAACAACTAAAATAGACTAAACCACAGTGATATTTGCCTCGCTAACCTACTAGTTCTGTACTAACCACGTAAACGATAGCAACGCATTTCTGATATACGGGGTTATGTAGAAGCTAAAGGTTCACAAGGTGAATGTTACGTTAAACCTCCTCACGTGTCACGTGTACGTTTTCTAATGTTACAAGGAGTACCGACCATCTTATTAAACGTCGTTTTTACGGAATATCTTGTTCTGTTTTGGAAGTTATTCCTCAAAATCGGACCGAAATACTTAGTTTTGTTTTGTTATTCGGCTTTGGAAGGTATTACTGAAAATCATGTCTAAATACATAAGCATTGTTTTTATTAAGCTTAACTAAAGTGATTGCTAAAGAGAACTGCGTGACCTCAAACTGGGGAAAAAAGGAAAGAATAAACAGTACAACAGATTTTTAATTTCTTGGTAGAAGCAGACGAACATTTTGTTTCAAAGTTCATTCTGCAAATTCATTTTAAATTATGAAAATTACCATTTTGCGTGACTACGACCATAACAATAAAGAAATTCCCCATTGTTTGTTTATTAAGGCAGGATTTTCTTGAAAATGAAAATACTTCCCTTTCTATATTGTGTGGATGATGATTTAGTTTTCTGTTCACAGAATAAATAAATACACGTTTCTGGTGTTAAAATATTCTATGTTTCTAGTAGTCATCCACGAATATATTCGAAACTTTCCTAATTTATGATAGTTTATTTTATTTTTCTCAAGTTAAGTACATTTGTTGAAAAAAAGCAACAAATTAATTTCTCGTATTCCGTTTTGGAATATTAATGGATGGTATAATAGGGCGAATGCCCATCTGGTCCTTAGGTATAACAGGGTGAATATCCATCTGGCCATTAGGTATAACAGGGTAAATATCCATCTGGTCATTATGCGCTCTTGCCAAAGAAATGAGAGATTTTTTCAATGCAAAATTCCTTTTTCTAGTGGTTAGCATGCCGCACTATGATCGTGCGGGTCCATCATTCGCCTCCTGTTACCGCCAAAAAAAAAAAAAAGAAGAAACGAATATTACATTTCGCACTTTGAGGCCGTTGGTGCGTTATGAGTGATGGCCAATTCCCACTATTCGGCCAGACAAAAGTAGCCGAAATGTTGACGATGGGTGTTGTTAACTAGCTGCTCTCCCTCTAGTCTATCGGTTCAAAATTAGAGACGAGTGGAGCAGATAGCCCTTGAATAGCTTTGCGAGAAACAGCTATGTTTGTTTTAGCACAAAACTATACCACAGGAAACGAACTCCGAATTTTAGCGTTGTAAGTACGTAAACTTACAGCTGACCCACCGGGTATCTATTTATTTGTACCTGATAAATTTGTTTTGACATATATCTTAATACATAATTAACAAAAACATGAAACTATTGAGTTTTATACAATCAACATGATTAAAAAAATTATTGGTTTAGAATTATTTTAAAAGTTCTTTATTTCTAGAGGGAGCATTTGTAAGTGTAGAATCTTTGGTTAAGTTGATTTGATTTATACCTCTAAGAAAAAGTGATACAGTTGGCTAATATCTCAAAGGAGAATTGACATAAGTCGCTTATATCTCAAGACAAAGTATATAATTCGTCGCAATTTCTAAACAGAAAGACGTTATGAAAAGTCAAGTAGAAATTTAGGAATAACTTCGTATAACAACACTTATAACTTGCAAGGACCTTTAAGGTTAGGACTTTATAGTTTTAACTTGTATAATATTACAATTTAAAAGTTTATTTTCCTAGAATAACTATGTTATGAAAGCCAACATTTGGTATAACAAGGTCTACAGCTGCTTGCCATATGCCTATATTTTAAACATTTATAAAGTCCGCTAACTGCAAGCAAAAAAAAAAAGTCACCAGCCTTGCCATTGATAAGTTAATTTTCGTAAGGTAATTTTATGTTGAAAGCATAACACGTGGCAGTAGAGTCTCCAAATGCTGGCCATTTGTGTAAATATTAAACAAGTATGCGCTACTTGTACCGATTCGTGGGTTAATGTGAAACTGAAAATAAACTTGCACTTGGGCGAAAGTATCTGTTGCTTATTGTTACAAACAAGCGTGATGCTTTTTCTCTATAGGTTGATCATATTGGGATGAGTAAATCATCTAGTGACTACAAAATAAAATAGACCAAAAACTAGCAAGTAAAATTGATTAGAAAGTTTGTTTTGTTTGTTTGTTTTTTTTTAATTTCGCGCAAAGCTACACGAGGGCTATCTGCGCTAGCCGTCCCTAATTTAGTAGTGTAAGACTAGAGGAAAGGCAGCTAGTCATTACCACCACTGGGCTACTCTTTTACCAACGAATAGTGGGATTGACCGTAACATTATAACGCCCCCACGGCTGAAAGGGCGAGCATGTTTGGTGGGACTGGGATTCGAATTCGCGACCCTTATATTGCGAATCGAGCGCCCTAACCACCTGGCCATGCCAGGCTAATTAGAAAGTAGTAAATAAAATGATCTAGAAACTAGCAAGTAAGATCGTCTAGAAACTAGCAAGTAAGATTGTCTGGAAACCAATAAATATAATAGTCCAGAAACAAGAAGTAAGATTGTCTAGTAACTACAAAATAATATAAACCAGAAACTAGCTAGTAAGATCGTCTAGAAACTAGCAAGTGAGATCGTCTAGAAACTAGCAAGTAAGATCGTCTAGAAACTAGCAAGTAAGATCGTCTAGAAACTAGCAAGTGAGATCGTCTAGAAACTAGCAAGTAAGATCGTCTAGAAACTAGCAAATAAAATAGTCTGGAAACTATCAAGTAAGACCGTTTAGAAACCAGTAAATAAAATAGTCTAGGAACTAGCAAGTAAGATTGTCTGGAAACAAGGAAGTTAGTCTAAAAACTTTATAGTGTTCATCTTTTACGAATCCTTAACGACTGGATGTAGGATTGTATAAATAAACACTTGTTTACAAGTTTGTCACCATGTTTGTTTGCATAGAAATAAACATAATCCAAGTTAGAAAGGATGATAACGTCAATACTTATGGTTTTTTATTTGAGATTTGTGTGTGTGTGTATGTGGCGCCATCAAGTGGCAGAACTGGTTTTAGTATTTGACTCTGTCTATATCTACTTCGAAATTATTGGACGGGTTCTAACCAAAAGCTGGTACAATTGTAAATAAGCAAATCCTACTCGATCTAACGTTTTGGAAATTAAAACCACAAAGAAATGTTTAGCTTGTGTATCTTGCTCACATGTGATACAGTTTGAGATATTTCGAGAATTTTTTGATATTTTTACATATAGCCTGCAGTGCTTTGAATCACAGTTTTATAACACTGTTCTTGGTTGAATGTTTGTAATTTCGTATGTAAATAGTAGTTATACTAGATGTACTTCCGCGGAGTCCCCGAAAGTGTTCTCTTTCAAGAGTAATTAAAATTAAGAGTAACAAATATTTATATTTCTTGCTTTTGAAATTCATATGTCATGCTGTGTTGTAGCCTACAGAGTGCACGATTCTTTTCGTGATTCATGACATGTGTACGTTTTACTGTCGTCACTACAGTACAAATTGCATCATTAAGCATCCCTTATGTGATGTGATTTTAGTGTTTACTGACTGACTGACAGACAACACACTACTGTATAGTGGTGCGAGTGGTTAAAACATGTGACCCCTCCGGGAGGTCTTCAATCCCTTTCGGTGAAATAAACGTAAATATTTCCTTTTGTTTTCTGCGAAGCAAAACATATATAATGATTCTTTGCGTGTGTGTGTGTGGGGGGGGGGGTCAAGTTGATAAATACACTTGATATGGTAGGGACACTGAATTATAGTTACGTTAATTTTTCATGTTCTCAGATATGTAATAAACAGCGTTTAAAATAGAAATATCGTAATTAAGTTATATTCATAAAGTTATTTACCTTCTGTTTAGTTTTTCTTACATTTTATAGGTGGAACTAATTACCGAGGCCCTTAGTTGACCGATCGAAGCAATTATTTAATATTTTCGTTGTTTCTAAAGTAAGCTGTATATCTAGGCCATGGTTATACATGTAGGTAAAAACGCACGTTATGTTATTTAACTAATGTAGCAAGATTCTGTTCTTTTCATGGTTATAATTTTTCCTTTTTTTTTTTACACGTTTACTTGTTATTACATAGTATTATTTTGGTGGATTTTAAACAATTGTAATAGGCCTAAACCGCTTACTCTACACATTTATAGTCTTAAGTTTTGTGATGACATCGTAGTTGGTACATAATTATACAATTAGAAAATATTAACTACATTTTCTGTTGTTATGATAGTTAGAAAACAATGGTCTAGAGAGTTAATAAAAAATATTGGGAGTTGTTTCGACTTCCAGAAAAGAAGAATAGTAACTGACAATTTAAAATAAATTTTTATCTATTAGTTTGCATATCGACAAATGAATAGGTAATTTTTAGGGTTAGTAAGATATTTAATCTTTATGGTACCGCTATTTTGTTCCTATTAATTACATATTTTTATTATTTTCTAATTATTTATTTATTTTTAAGCCTCCCCAGTGGTACAGCGGAATGTCTGCGGACTTATAACGCTACAAACCGGGTTTCGATGCCCGTGATAGGCAGAGCACAGATAGTCCATTGTGTAGCTTTGTGCTTAACTACAATCAATGAATAATGATCTTCTGTGAATGACACAGTATCAAATATGTAGATTGTATTCTGTAATGAATTTAAACGTAGTTAAATTAATACAGAAGAAGAATACACTCAACAACCATTTATCGTGTGGTTTTTGTATGCCCAACCACCAGCAACATTTGTGACGTAAACCGTCATTTTGTATAACTCCGTAGATAACCGATATGAACAACAGAAGAATCTTGTGTAAAAACAATAGCAATGTTTTTAAATTTAATTATGTTTATGAATACCTTGTGTTTTCTTTTAGTGACTCGTCATAAACATACGTCTCGGTCGAGTGACATATGGCTATCCAAAAAGTTAAGTGAAATAGAGGGCGCTGGGTTCGTGGATGATTTGGCAGATGAAGAGCGGAAAGACGAGTGAGTTAATACAATCATTTTACAATAATTATAATACTTAGATTTATTTAAACTAAATGAGTATTTTATAACCAAAAACTAAATTATTGATCAACTGTAACACGAAAGTTAGTATAATACGTAAAATAATTCTTGAGAAAGTTGTGTAAAATTAAGTATAACAGATGAATTAGATAATTTAATTGTTTTGTTACGTCTCCGTTTGTTAATTAACTTTCCGTAACTTCGTTCCGACGAAATTTTAGCGACACAAGTCCTTACTGAATAAAACTGGTTTATTCTTTCCGAATATAACTTTACGATACACTTAATTTCAACAATCGCGCTAAAACAAACGCTATAACAACGAACGTGCTCAATAATACTCTCTGACTGCAGATCAATTACTTACTGTCTACTCACACATTGTTCCGTCACGTTGTCACCCTCTTATATACATATACCAGCCTACCCTATATCTAGTAATCTCCCGACTATTCCCGAAGGTTCGAGAGGTGGCGTGACACTAGTCACGTGACCTCGCTGACGCAACAGTTTTCTTATTCCTAACACAAACTTTAGTTTGTTATTGTATTGAAGTTTCAGATAATTTATTATATGTTTTAATTCGTTTATGCTCGCGTTCTTTAAAAAATGTTAAATTTTAAAGATTCCCGTTATACATTTGTTAGTTTAGAATAATCGAGAAGTTTCTCAAATACAAACAGATATTGAGAAAAGCACGCGAAAAAACAAATATCTTAAAGTATTTCTTTTTTTAATTTATTTATTTCATTGCAAATCTGTAATTCAAATGATAATATTGTACCAAAAATTGTCTGTGACAAATTTATTCCTGTGTAGTGCAAGTATAAAAAAAACTTAGATTTCAACATGATGGTCAAAACAAAGTGTAGGCCTAGTAGTCAGCGTGCTCAGACTATGAATCCGAGAATTCATGGTTTGTGTTCCGTTGCCGCAACAAACGCGCTTCAAATCGCACTATTCAAAAAAATTAGTTCAAGAGTTAGCGATGGATGGTGTGGACTTGCTGCCTTCTCTCTAGTGTAACAGGTATGGCTATGGGCTGACAAAATATTCTAAAAACAAAAAAGTAACACATGTTTGGGTTCTTTGTTTTGTATATTTTCAAGTAAAATGCAGGATATCATATACGTTGTTCTTCTCGGATAAGATATGATATTTATTCATACACACACAGAGGTGTAGAAGGCAAATTAAAGGGAGGAGGCATGGTTTATTTGACAGAGCGAAGCGAGGGAATGTGCGCTACAGGCGCACTGATTACGGCCGGGTTTTAGGATTCGTCTTTAGGGCTCTTGGATTCTGGATTAAATGTTATTTATTCTTCTGTTGTTCCTGGGAGTAATTTCCCTAGTTTTGATGCATTTTTACTGGGACATAATGAAAAGTGGGGGTTCCTACGTCACTGTATATATTCATGCTGGGAAGCCTAAAGGTTTTCTTTCTATTATCAATGACTTCTGATCAAAATAAAGTAAATAGAACTTTAAAAACGTCCCTAGTCAGTTTGCAGTAAGCTTACGGACTTACAACGCTAAAATTCAGGGTTCCATTCCCTGCATGGGACATAGCGCAGATAGCTCATAGTAGTTCAGTAATGTTGTTTCTTGAAATACCGTCCGTTGTCACTTTTTAGCCCAGTACTACCCCAAACTAATGTTTCTTCGAATATTGTCCGTTGTCTGTTTAGCTCAGTAATACCCCAGAGCTATTGTTTCTTGGGATATTTTCCGTTGTCACTGGTATTCCACAACTGTTGTTTCTTGGAATAACGTCCGTTGTCACTTTTCAGCCCAGTACTACCCGAAACTAAAGTTTCTTGGAACACCGTCCGTTGTCACTGTTTAGTTCGGTACTACCCCAGAGCTATTGTTTCTTGGAATATTTTCCGTTGTCACTATTTTATATAGTGTCCTTTGCCAGATTGTCTCTTGGAATAATGTCAGTACTTCAGAGCTCCCAGTTACAGATAAACTTTTAAAAGAAATCTTTAATGTATTTGAATGACATTAGGAAAAAAAAAGAACTAATTAGATTTTTTCTTCCTTTTTCTAAATGATGCCGTTTTGGGATATTTCCCTGGAGACTTATTTGTAAGATTGGAAAACTATAGCGCTAAATATTGGGGTTCGATTCCGGCGGCGGACATAGCACACTCAGCCTATTGCGTCGAAACGAAACCCATTTTCTGGATTGTTGTTATGTACGTATAGTATGTTTTATATTACATATTAATTGTACTGTGAAAAACGTGTTAATTTACATGTTTTTGATATAAGGTATCGTGCCTACTATTCATGATCAGTATAATCATAAGTTTTTATACACTTATTACTTTTCTGCCGTTTGTAGTTTATATATATATATATGTATATATAATAGTTTTTTCAGCTTGGAAGCAGAGGATGTTACTTCTACAACATCTCAGCCAAAAGAAAATGAATCAAACAAAGGTAGAGATTTATTTGTCTGTACGTACAATGTTTAATTTTGTACCCACATACAGTTAACAAATTTGCACAAAATTATTTTATTATTTTGTCTCTCTCTGTATGTCTATATAGATAGCTTTCGAGTTTATTTTGTAATGTTTTCATATATCTGATTGAGCAAAAAAAAATAATAGAAAAAAACGTTTATTTTAAGGTATTTAATTTGTGATACGAAGTATTTATTAGTTTGTAACTTTTCTTTTGTCGTCACTTTAGACACTATAACATTTTCAGTTTTGTCCCACAAAAAATTTTAAATTTATTACAGAGGGAGTAGCGACAGCTTGATATCTTGTCGAATATCGCGGCTCCAAACTGTTCAAACAGGTTATCTTCATTGCAGAGTTAGGCGGCTTCCTACCATTTTGATGTGTCCCAAGTGGAAACAAACAATTACAAAACAATTGTTTAATCTATATAAATATAATAGTACTGTCTGTCGTATGTCCATGTAATTACGTCGCAGGGTATGGATGGATCTTCAAAATTAGTACGGAGGTTCATTGGGTCTATGGGGAGATACGTACACATTTTCAATTTTGCGTTTTTCATTTTTTCCACGACTTCGCCCCCTGTTGGTGGATCTTCACCAAATTTGGCAGGAAGGT